TGTGTGTATATATATATATATATATATATATATATATATATATATATATATATATATATACACACACACACACACATATATATATATATATATATATATATATATATATATATATATATATATGAGAGAGAGAAAGAACAGATGGAGTAATAGTCCACTGTTCTTAGCATTTACTTTTTAAAATGTTCACTACAAAGTAGAGCAATATATATTTTTGTTACAAGAGATTATAAATTAGCGATTTCAAAATGTTTTTATTATAATCTCTTATAATAAAAACATAATAGATAGATAGATAGATAGATAGATAGATAGATAGATAGATAGATAGATAGAAAAGTGAACATTGAAGTCAACACTCAGAGACGACACTCAAGGTTTCATGCAAAACTCCATCATCAGGACACATTTCCCGACGATGACGTCTCGCCTCTGGGTGGTGACTTCAATGTTCACTTTTATATTTACATACGCTCGCACTTTACCCCGTAAATACAGTATAGCTTAAAACTATATTTCTTCACACACACACACACACACACACACACACACACACACATACATATATATATATGTGACAGACTGTTTCACGCTAGACACAATCGTCAGGTTGCCCGGTGATTGCGTCTAGCATGAAACAGCCTGTCGCCTCTGAGTGTTGACTTCAATATTCACTTATATATTTATATACGTTCTCTGATGTTGATAACTTTATCCCATAAATACAGCACAGCTTAAAACTATATATATACATATATATATTTATAACGTTCTTTTTATAGATACAAGTATTTAAGTAAATGCTCTGTTTATAATAAACAGTGTTAAATAACATTTACCGGCCTGAATGTCCGAGAAATTTTCATAGAAAATATTTGTCCCCTCACAGGATTCGAACCTGCATCCTATACAGAACCGTCATTTACGCTGACGTGTAAATTCGACCTTGCCAACCGAACGATCCTTTGTGGCCGAGAGGTTAAGCACGTCAGCGTAAAGGGGCTTCTTATTTAATAAGTACCTCCAACTGCATATAAAACTTTTCCATCGGGGCATTTAAAGTTAGTGAACGTACGAACGAAGAAGACCGGGAATTATTGGTCCAGTTGTAACTGAGTTTACACTTGAGGAAGTACTTTAAATTAATATCGGAATTGAACATCACAATTTGGTGCCTTTTAAACAAATATTAAATATTAAGGAAATAGTTTTGTCATCAATAACAAACGAAAAAAATAATATCTATAGACATTGTGCGAACAACCATAATATACACACTGAACAACGATATTGACGGGACTATCAATAAAATTACACCGTTTACTGTAAAAGTTTCAAAGGCTTGGAAGATCTGAGACGATTTTTTGAGTTGGCAAGAGGTAGTGAGATTGGAGATGACTGCTGGTAAATATTTTCAGATTCGCTGCAGATGAGAAATTATACTTATTTGCAGTGTGTCTTCCGTTTGAAATCGCACTCATGAGGATTTGTAATTCAAAATTTAAACTTCTCCATTTTACCTCTGTGTATAAATAAACGTTACCGAATAAAATTTGGCATTATCGAGAAGGAAACTCGTTGGCAATACAACAGAGAGAGGCTATCAACATTTTTTCAGTTGACAACACGTTCATCATCCAGATTTTGAAGTCTGTCCAGATATGTCAGCAATTCTCCATTTTTGGTCTGAGTTTTGTAGTGAAAGAAAATGACAGGAGGACCCATATATTTTTTGCAGAGTTACAAGGAAGCGGCCATTTTTTTCCAGCTTCTTTAGCGATAAACTGAGTACCACTCGAGGTCTGGAGAGAACTTGACTCCCAACGGACGTTCAAAACAAGGAGCCGCATTTAGAGCCTTATAAAGAGTACACTGTGTTTTATTAAGAGTACAAGGTCCCCTATTAAGAGTACAAGATGCTTTATTAAGAGTACAAGGTACATTAATAAGAGTACAAGGAGACATATTAAGAGTACAAAGTTCCTTATTAAGAGTACAATGTGTCCTATTAGAAGTAGAATAGACCTTATTAAGAGTACAAGGAGCTTTATTAAGTGTACAACGCGGTTTAATAAGAGTACAAATTGCCTTATTAAGAGTACAAGAAGCTTTATTAATAGTACAAAGTGCATTAATAAGAGTACAAGGAGTCTCAATAAGAGTACTCGGACCCCTATTAAGAGTACAAGGTCCCTTACTAAGAGTAAAAGGTGCCTTATTAAGAGTAAAAGGTCCATTAATAAGAGTACAAGGAACTTTATTAAGAGTAGAAGGGGCTTTATTAAGAGTACAGGGTACATTAATAAGAGTACAAGGTACCTTATTAAGAATACAATGTCCTTATTAAGAGTACAAGAAGCTTTATTAAGAGTTCAAGTAGCCTTAAGACCACAATATGTCTTATTAAGAGTACAATGTGTTTTAAGAGTAGAAAGAACCTTATTAAGAGTACAAGATGTCTTATTAAGAGTATAAGGTCCCCTTATTAAGAGTACAAGGAGCTTTATTAAAAGTGCAAGGTGCATTAATAAGAGTACAAGGAGTTTATTAAATGTAAAATATACCTTATTAAGAGTACAATGAAACTTTTAAGAGTACAAGGAGCTTTATTAGGAGTTCAAGTTGACTTATAAGACCACAATATGTCTTATTAAGAGTACAATGTGTTTTATTAGGAGTACAAGGTGCATTATTATGAGTACAAACTAAACTGGCGTTTACTGAATTTCTTTCTAACTTTTGTACCTCTTTTTTATATCTGAGATTAATTCCGTTAATAAAACAATTTATCAAAACGCATCATTATACAGCTTTGCATTTTGTCATTCATTTGCCTATATCCACCCATTAGCCACTTAATTAAGAATGCGTGAAGAAATTCTCTTTTATGAAAATTTCTAATCAGCCAATGACATGGCAATAATTTAATGGAGTATTGGGATAACGAAGGATTCTTTCCCGAGGCAAAACAAATTATTCAGACATAGAAAGTCTTCATAAAAAAGAATGAAAAACTGCTGAATTGCGATGTAATATAGATCCTCGCATAAGACAGTGAATGCTGGGCAATTTTCTTAACATTAAAATGACACTTGAAGCGACAGAGATGTGCTTCGGAAGAAGAATGCTGAGAACACCATCGCGGCGGACACAAGAAAGTTTCAAAGAAAATGGAAATGAAAAGGGCACTTGTACTTATAAGCAGAAAGAGGCAATGGAAAAATTTGGATGAGAAAAGAGGGATTGGAGAATTTTACACTCACAGGATATATTGAAGGCAAGCGCGGAAAATGAAACAGTGAATAGCATGCCCTTAGTAATGTTTGTCTTGTCCGTCCTGGGTATGACATCCGCGTCTTGGGTGAGACGATAAACTACATCCGCATCCTGGGTAAGACGGTAAACTACATCCCCGTCCTGGGTGAGACGATAAACAACATCCGCGTCCTAAATAAGACGGTAAACTACATCCGCGTCCTGGGTAAGACGATAAACTACATCCGCGTCCTGGATAAGACGATAAACTATATCCAGCAACAAGGCCTCTGATCAGGAGGTTTTGAGGAGTGTGGAACCACCTCTTAATTGCTAGTGTTACCAGGTCCACCCTGTCCCGGGGTGGTAGCACCTGTTAGGATCCCAGTATGGGCAAATAGTTAACACCCAAACTTGTGTAAAAATAGGTTTTAATACCAGAAATACTTTATAATTAAAAAAGATTATTACCAGCAATAATTTTTGAAATAAAATTATTATCAGCAATACTTTTTAAAAAAGAACCAGCAATACAAACAGCTATACATTCTTTTGAGAAAAACATATGACCAGCTATAGATTTCTTCAAGGAAAAATATTCCTAGAAATAGATTTTTGAAGAAAAAATATTACGAGCAATAAAAATTTTGTCGGCATTAAATAACCCAATGAGGTTGATATGCTCTAAAACAAACCAAACCAAAAATCTTAATCCTTGTTCTGACAATCATGTGCACAAGCCGGTTAGGTAGGATATACTCGCCTTCTTCTTGGCCTCTTTCCTTCAAAATGACATGTGAGTGTCAAATTCTCTAAGCCTTCTTCCCTCATTATGTGTCCGTGAATATTCAACAGTCGCTTTTCTGATGAAATGTATAATAATCCATTATGTTCAGTCAATGGTATTCTCAGCATCCTTCTGCTGCTTCTAGTCTCTTCTTCTTCTGTCAGAAGATTTTCTAACATTCACTGCTATACAAGAAGTGTTCAGTATTCTTTTGTTTGTTTCAAACGATATTTTCTTGTTTCTTAATACTTTGTTTTGTCTCTGGAAGGCATCTTTCACTATCTCAATGAGACTTCGGATTTTTTTATGTCGCATCTTCCTTCCTCTGTTTAAACATTTCCTAGATAATTTAATATTTGTCCTTGTTTAATGTTGGTGTCCCCAATTTGTAAGACGCTTGTTGGGCTCCCCCTTTTGCTGACAACTATAAGTTCTTGCTTCTTGCAATTGGACTTTAGTCCTTTCTTCTTTCTTTCCTTTACTGTCGTCTGTAGAAGTTCATGTAGATTCCCAGAATTTAGACATGTTCTTAAATAGCCTCGTTATATCGAGACTCTCATATGAAACCGGACGTTATTGGAAAATCATTTATAAATATCTAAAATATCATCCGTGAACAAAATGTTTGATTCAAAATGGCTTCAAACGAACGAAGATCTTTAGGTCTGAAGACAACCCTTCATCAGATTCTATAGACTGGCACTACAGAATTATAAAGCAATGTACCTAATAAAAATCTATATCACTTGAACATATTTTTGGTATATCTATCACAACGTTTCGGCCGTTGTACGCTCCGGCCTTGTTCAGTTCGACATTCCAACCACCCGGAGAAGGCCGGATCGTACAACGGCCGAAACGTTGTGACAGATATGGCGAAATGTATCACTTGAACACTTTCAATGGTAACAACATAATTTTAAAACACATGTAAACGGTAAAGTTACTCTAGGGGACCATGACAAACCGCAGTACCTGCCGCTTGGTCAGGTCAACGGCTACTAAACCAGTTGGCTAGACACCCAGGAGGATTAAAAACCTGTCAAATGAGAAGTCAACGGTCATCTAGTATAATAGAATAGACTGTTGTGATGATGAGTTTCTGTGCGTCACTGCACAAGCGGTGATGACATCCAACGTCTGTATGCGAAGACACCGGCGCTCGCTAGGCTCCACAGAATAGAGTTAGGGCCGTGATCGACGCCAACAAAGAATAAAGACAAATCATTTTTAAGACAGGAAGTACAAAAAGTACTTTTCCGGTATCTGACTTCACACTAATTTCCGGCAAAGTGTTTCTACATCTGGTCATATCTATCTATCTATCTATCTATCTATCTTAGTTTGTTCAAATCTCTCTCTCTCTCTCTCTCTCTCTCTCTATATATATATATATATATATATATATATATATATATAGAGAACCTATATTGAGCCAGACAAACCTACCTAGGTTTCAAGCTTTCCCCTGACGATCCGTTTAGGTGAAACCTAGGTAGGTTTGTCTGGCTCACTAGGTGTATCTAGGTTTGTCTACTATTGTATTGAGCTCTTTTGTTAGTTAGTTGTTACTCGTATCGGGGTTTTTTCTTTGGGCTTCAGACCTGCATCTGTGGGATTTTTTGTCGGCAGAAGTTTATGTTTGTAGCTCTTTCTTTTTTAAAACCTTTTTTCCCTCGAAATTGATTTGATTAACAAATCAAAGATTCGAGGGTTTTTCGAAACGAGTCTAGTTATTTTTATATATATATATATATATATATATATATATATACTCACTCATTTCTTAATGTGATATATTGCAAGTCACCATGAAGTTTCTTTTTTTAATCCAATGCCCAATCAAGGTAACGAGTTACTGAGTGCGAAAAAAAGAAGTACTTACCATGAGGAAACATTGGATAGATTTCAGTTGATCCTGGAGTTGAAGTGGTTTTACATTGTAGTGGTCAGGGAAGCATCTTCTCATGACTTTTTTTCCCACGAAATAAGAAGAATCTGTTTGAGTGGGGCTTACTCTTTGCCGAAGGGGAATGGCGATGTCTTGCCACCGTGAACATGACAAGGCATGCCATTGTCCTAGAAAGGCAATCTGTCAGAGTAAAAAGCGAGAGAACAGTGAGAGGTTAGCAACGTTTTGTTTGTGGCAAAACGGGTTGGCAGCAGGGAAAATAACTCACCCCCTGTAAGGTCTCGCACCTCTCGCCTGTGGAACTCCCTTCCCTATTCCAGTTTCCCTGAGAGCTATAATCTCCAGCTATTCAAATGTAATGTCAATCGACATCTCCAGTTGCCTTGATCTATCCACTACCCTTCTCCTCATCCTTTCTTCTATCACTCCTATCTGATCTTGCTCTAAATTTTCTGTAACCCCTTGCGTCCTAGTGGCTTCCCGCCTTGCTTGGGGTGAAAAGCTTAAAAAGAAAAAAAAAAGGTCACATAAACGCATTTGAACTCTATGTCAAGGCAGTAAAGTGAGGCCTGGCGGCACAAGCCCGAATATGTCAACAATACTCCATTCTTGGTCTGTTCTGACTCTTGCAGAGATAGAAAATGGTATCGGAATTTATGTATTTTCTGAAACGATATAAGGAACCGTCCTTTCTAGCAGGGCCAATGCTGAAAACTCGAATCATGTTCTTAAATAACCTCGGCCAGCCATATATGGCATTCAACCCGTTTTTTAATATCTAAACTGTCAGCTGTATACAACCATTTTCTTAGATCAATGATGAAAAAAGACTATCTATCTATCTATCTATCTATCTATCTATCTATCTACTGTCTCAGCCTATTGATATCTATTTCAGTATGTTATATATATATATATATATTATAAATTAATTGATTTAAAATATGATTTTTTTCGCTACACAGTTCTAACCATGTTTCAAAAATGGAAGCTAAAAGCTCCGAATTTATTTTTGTAATTAAATTAAAGACATTAGTTCCATTTCATCCTCAAGCGAATTTTGGAGTAACTTTTAAAATTACTGGGTTTTAAAGACACAGCAAAAATCATAATTCACGTTTCGAAGGATACAGAGAAATCCACTACAACCAGACATATCTTACTGTTCTTTCTTTATATATATATATATATATATATATATATATATATATATATATATATATATGTGTGTGTGTGTGTGTGTGTGTGTCTGTGTGTGTGTGTGTGTGTGTGTGTGTGTGTGTGTGTGTTTATTGATATCTTATCTCTCTATCTCAGTCTGATCATATCTGTCTATCGATCGATTGATCGATCGATCTCAGACTGTCCATTATCTATTTCTGTCCATTACCATTCTCTCTATCCTTTTACCAAAGACATTTATTCACCCTAACTGTGCCTGTCTTTCATTAGCGTTTAATTTGTTCTTTTATTTTATCGCTGTCACCCCAAGCAATACAATAGAGTCACGAGCACTCAAGGGGTTACAGGGTGGGGAAGAATTAGAAACAGAAACATTAGTAACGAGAAGAAAGAAAAAAAAGAGCAATCAGGAGAACCGTAGATAGCGATTGACATTGCATTTATATTTTTTATAGATTAAAGTTGTCTGGAAAGTATGCAGCCGGAAAGGAGTTCCACAAGCGAGAAGTGCGAGAAAAGTAAGTGTTTGCATAGAAATTACGGCTACATCTAGCCAGTTCATCTGTAAATTGATGAGATGTCGGCGTACCGAGTTCTTATCCTGCATTAGTCTCTTGCATTCACTTTCAAGAATGCTCCAGAAAAAAGCACATCTCCTCCCTCTATCTATGGGTTAAATAGCAGATTAGACTGCGCTCACTAGCCTTGCTTGGTAGCCAGTCTAAGGTTAGGAGAATTCTGAATTCCATACCATGAAAAAGGAACAACACCATGGCAAGTCACACACAATGATAGAGGAATCTATGGAGAGCCATGATCTTGCACAGCCATCTTTAATGTGTGCCGCATTATAGAAATATTCAAACAAATGAATTTCCATTGCTCTCTCTCTCTCTCTATATATATATATATATATATATATATATATATATATATATATATATATATCACTATCTATCTATCTATCTATCTATCCCTTCAGTACGTGAGTGATCACGGTTTTCCACAGCTTCTTCAACATGTCCACAGTTAATTTCATTACCCCTCTCATGAGAACTGAGTTTGAATTCTTGAAGAGGTTGCCAATTCATAGTATTTTTTAAATCGTATGAATCTGTTTTTCCCTGAATTGTCTTTCATCGATCGCTGTCTTCACAAAGGTCTCGTTACTGGCAATTAACGATGGTTGATGAACATAAGTGCAGTCCAGACAGGGATTCTTTTTTTGTTACTAGTACCGTGTAACCTATTAATATCCGTTGTATTTGATTTTTTTCAAAGGAAATGGATAGAACAATAGTGTTGAGTAAGTCTCTTTTACTCTTTTCACTTCTTTCTCTAACCCTCTTTATCTTCTTCACTCTTTTTTTCTCACTTTCTCTCTCTCTCTCTCTCTTTCTCTCTATCCTTTACCCTTTTCACTTTGATAATTCTTTCTCTCACTCCTTTTCCTCTCTTCGTATTTCTTTCTCTCCTTGACATTTTTCCTCTCTTCGTCTTTCTCTCTCTCTCTCTTCTTAACTCTTTACTTCTTTCTCTAACCTCTTTATCTTCTACTTTCTTTCTTTCTCTCTCTCTCTCTCTCTCTCTCCCCCCTTTAATCGTTTCATTTCTTTCTCTAACTCTCTTTATCTTTATTTTCAGAGGAAATCGATAGGACAATAGTCTTGAAATGTCATGAAAAACCGTGGTCGTCATGTAACAAACCAACCAATATTTGTATCCATCATCATAGTAATTGCATAGGCTACTATGTCTACTATTATCTTTAATATTACAATGCCATGTGACTTCAGGACGAGGGCGATCATGGCTCTCCACAGATTATTTTAACTTATAAAATCTGTAAATTGCCAGCAACTATTGGGAATGATAGTGAAGTAGCTTCCAGCGGCTTTCACCACATTTTGGAATTAAAAGTTTATCTCCGTGTAGTCTGGCTTTCTCCCAAGGCTATAGAGTCCAATTTAAGTTACTATTTGACGCATAAAGAGCAAAGGGAAGAGATGGATTTATGCCTTTCTCTTGGTTAGTAATATGAATTATCGAACTTAACAGACTTGAACTGAATTCGAACTGGTTTCGCAGTCTTCACTTTCCGTGTCGATATCTATTACATATCAAAAATACTACTACTACTGTTTACTACTACCACTACTAATACTACTACAAAATTAACAATAATAATAATAAGGCAGCTTAATATATACGAGGGTCATTCAATAATACAGATAGAAGATTCCTTTTTTTTATTTTTCAACATAGTCTCCCAGCACTGTCACACACTTTTCCCATCTGCGCACAAGCTTCCGTATTCTTTCAGCGTAAAAATCTTTGGACTGATGTCTCAACCAGTCGCTCACAACACTTTTGACTTCATCGTGCCTCTCGTGAACGCTTTCAAAGGACCAAACAGGTGAAAGTCTGAAGGAGCAAGGTCTGGGCTGTAAGGGGGATGAGGGAGCAGTTCCCAGCCCAGCTCGTTAGATGGTCTGCACCGTTTGGGCTGCTGTGTGAGGCCTTGCGTTGTCATGATGCAAGATGACTTCTTCTGACTGATGACCCCTGCGTTTGTTCTTTATGTCTTTCTTGACCTGCCTCAGCAGTTCACAGTAGTTCTTCTGTCAGACTGAATGAGGTCATTGGCTGATTCGATCACCTCAGGAGACCTCACTTCTGTAGGCCTCCCAGGCCTGTCTTCATCCTCAACACTGCCCCGTCCTTCTTTAAACAATTTAGCCCACTTGTAGACATTTTTTTGGCTGAAACATGTGGCACCATACCCAGTTGACATTCTCCTATGAATTTCAACTGGTTTGCACCCTTCAGCAACCAAAAACTTGAGAACTGACCACTGTTCAATCCTGGAGCATGCTTCTTGGTCGGCCATCTTTGTTAATCACCAAAACTCTCAAAGTTTTTTTTTTAATCTGCAAAAGAAATTAAATCCATGTAAAAAAGAAGTAAAACAAAAAAAAAAAAAAAAAACAGTAAGCTTCTATCTGTATTAGAAGTCCTTATACCGAAAAATTCACCCTATTTATTAAATGACCCCTATATATATATATATATATATATATATATATATATATATATATATATATATATATATATATATATAAACTCTCAGTATATAACCGCTTTCTAAGATCGATGGTTAAAAATGGTTTTAAGAGAGTAAAGCCTGGGGGTCTTGACAAAGACCATCCTTATTTGAACCTTGTGAACTGGCGCTACAGAATCGCAAAGAACTGTACCAAATAATAGAAACTGCATCACTTAAGGACTACCAACAGAAGCAACTAGTAAAATGGATATCACATGTAACTCAAAGAGAAAATAATGACATTAATCAAGATGTTGAACTTCCACACTACTTAGAACAAAAGGTTAGGAAGGAAACTCCCATCAATAATGGAAAGAGCGATAAAAAAAATCTACTGGGCTTGAGAAACCTGTTTTCCTAGAAAATGTTTTAAGAGAAAGATTTGTTAAATTTCAAAGGCTCGCTCAATGAATACCAAATGTTTCCTTATAAGGAAAGGGCTGATATTATTATCACAATTAGCAATGGCACGAATATATGATTCCGAATTGAGTTCTGTTGTGACATATAGATCTGATAGGTGTTCGAGGTAAGGAGCCTCATTGAGAGAATGATCACTTAAATCTAATTCAGTATCAGTTTAGTCGTTTAAAAAACGTAACTATTTTTTGTTTTGGATTATATATATATATATATATATATATATATATATATGGTTGGATAGAACCAAATATGTTAGCTCTATCTCTGATATTGAACGCTTTCTAATAAGTATATAATATATAATATATAAATAATTATACATACTTATATTTATTTATATTTATATATACTTTTCACATATATATATATATATATATATATATATATATTCTCACCGACGTAATGTGACTTCCCTCTGTCTTTTCTATAAATATTTCCATGGCATCTGCTCTAACAAGCTATTTTCACTGGTGCCCCGACTGCATGAATTTAAGCTTGCTACTAGGTTGGCATCTCGGTCCCACCTCTTTACTGTCAAAAGAGTTAGATATAATCGTCTCTTCTACTCCAATAGCTTCTTCTCTCGCACTTCCCGACAGTGACACTACATTCTTACTTACTTTCCTGATAACTATAATCTTCAAAATTTTAAGTGTAATGTCAATCGATATTTTCTTTTGTCTTGATGCCCGTTCTTCTTTTTATCCTTTCCTCACCTCTCCCCCGCCATATACCCAGTTTTTTTCCTTTACTTACGTTGTCTGTACCTCCTTGCATACTAGTGGCACTCCCGAATGCTTGGGGGGAATTGCTTATTATATATATATATATATATATATATATATATATATATATATATATATATAATTATTATTTATAAAAAAATTATAAGTATGTTATAAAATCACTACAAAAATAGCCATTTTGTTTCAGCACCCTCAGTGTTTTATCAAGTGATGATGTTGAAGATAAAAAAAATATAATAATAATAATAATTATATCTGCTCTACTTTGTATTGAGCACTCTTTTAAGAATAGTATTGTTGGTTATTGGAATTCCTTCCGTATATACCAATTATATACTTATATATATATATATATATATAGTGTACTCTCCTATCGTGAACGATAAATTAGAGTCAGAATTGGGTGGTGCATTTCGTTTTATACTTATGCTTGCTAGCAGGGTCTATTGAGGAGAAAATCTTTGCTGTGGGCGACAAAGCCATACTGACAGATGAAATTTGTTAAAGCAGGATTTTGATGGCGTTTCTGCTTCAAAGCCTGACGAAGCTGATCACAGTGCTTCAATCTACTGTCTTCAAAACCTTTTAACTTAATGGAAAATTCCTTACGCCACTCTATTCAGCTTGATTTTTGGGCTTCCCAGGTTTTCAGATCAAAGTTCGGACGTTTTAAGTTGTCTTTCAATTTATCTTTGTAGTGTAAGAGTGGACGTCCATCTGAACGCTTAGAGTTTGTTAGCTTTCCATACAGTACCTTTTTTGGAAGCCCCTATATATATATATATATATATATCTGAACTATATATATTACAATGAATCATTCATACAAAAAGTAGATTAGTAAAGTTAATGATATAAAATGGCGAAATCTCTTCGCAAACAAACATTTTAAAGTTGCATTAACCTACGAACCACTCGAAGAATGTTATGATCCTTGATTTTAATAACAGCAAGCTGTATAAGGTCTTTTTTTAATCTGCTAGTACTTTCGGCTGTACATTCAGTCATCTTCAGTCATGGAAATTATTTTGCTTTTAGTAAATCCAATAACAATAAGACATTTCTAAAAAAATATATTTCGCATTTAATCTTTCGTCTCTAATGCTACCTGGATTTACACTACAACATGTTTGACACGCAGACTCACTCTACACATTTCTGACCATAGCTCAATTAGATCTCATTTAAATATTCATGGAGACCTACCGGACAATATTCGTAACAGACTTGTTGACAACACAAATATAAAGCATCATCTATATGCAAAAAAGGCTAAAAATAATGGAAGCCTTATTAATAAAAACAAACAAACCAACACTTAATAATATTAACTTTGAACATGGACATAACATCTTGACCGTGTTTTGAAAAATGAAAACATTTTATAAAACATACATACAACGAACTATTTCTTATTTTAACAGTTAAAATATAATCCTTGAAAATGGCTAAATGTATAGCCGAAAGCGCTCGGATAAAAAGAACATTCGGACAGTTTTTATATAATTTATCATCCAGAAAGAAAAACATTATTAGATCGCATGTGAAATTGTATAAAAATAAATAAATAAAAGCACCTTGTCTGTTGTTTTCATTGAAAATGAATATATATATATATATATATATATATATATATATATATATATATATATATATATATATGATAAAAAAGGCTTAAACACTAATATTCCACGGTCATTATTTATTCCATTGGAATCGTTAATACGATTCAATTCATCAGACCTACAAATTCAAAAAATATTTTGCATATGTATGTGTATATTTACCACTAATATTAGCTATATATATATATGAAAATAACACTGCAATGACATCTCATTTTAACAGATATATTTACCAAAATGACAAAAATATCTTGAAATACTAAAGAGCAAATTTATTTAATAAAATCGCCATTGGCTTCAACCATGACCCCCCACCAGATGACTTCGGAATCTCCTGCAACTCTTTTGGACGGTCTTTCTGTATAAGTTTATGAATGCTGCCATAATCCTTGCTTTCAGTTTATCTTTGGCGTTTAGTCTTATTCACTGGAAAATGTCTAAACAAATAAATAAACAAATTAAGTAAATACTGAACAAATTAACAAACTACAAATAGACAGACACAAGTAAATGTAATAATAATAATTAACAACAAATAATTAAGTAATTTACTGCTTCTTTCTCTAACTCTCCGTTTTTTTTCTCTATACGTTTATGTCTAGATCTTTTTCTACACTCGGTCTTTTACTCATGTTTACTTTGACGCTTCTTTCTCTAAGTATCTTCATGTTCTATACCCTTTTGCCACACATCTGTCTTTATTTTTCTCTTTTTTCACTCTTAGTCTTTTACCTATGTTCACTTCAAAGCTTCATTCTCTTTTTATCGCTTTGTCTTCTACTCTCTTTTTCACTCTAGGTATATCTTTCTCTCTACCACTTTCCCTTTTTTTTAAACTCATTTTGTCCTTTAATCATGTTCATTTTGACGCTTCTTTCTCTAATCCACTTTATCCCTTCGATGACATTTCTGTTTTTTTTTTTTTTTTTCATTTTCCGCCTGCCTGAATCTTTCTTTCTCTCGTTTTCTTTCATTTAGACCTTTACCCTTTTCACTTTTATCGTCTACCCTCTTTTTCTCTCTTCAAATCTCTTTATCTTCTATACTCTTTTTCTTACGTCGTCTTTTCACTTTGACACATCTTTCCCGAAGCTTCTTTATCGTTTTTTCTCTTCGTCTTTCTTTCTTTCTGTCTCTCTGTCTCTCTCTCTCTCTCTTTCTCTCTCTCTTTCTTTCTCGTCTTTACTCTTTTCACTTTGACTCTTCTTTCTCTAACCTTCTTTATCGTCTACACTTTTTTCTGTCTTCGTCTCTCTCTTTCTCTCTCTCTTTCCTTTACCCTTTTCACTTTGACAATTCTTTCTCTCACTCCCTTTTTTTCTCTTCGTCTTGCTCTCTCTCTCTCTCTCTCTCTCTTTCTCCTTTAATCTTTTAACTTCTTTCTCTAACCCTCTTTATATTTTACCCTCTTTATCTTCTACACTTATTCTCTCCTCGTCTTTCTCTCCTTCTCTCTTCTCTCTCCCTCTCCCCACCTTTACTCTTTATACTTTAACACACCTTTCTGTAACCCTCTTTATCTTCTACACTCTTTTTCTTACTTCGTCTTTTTTTCTCTCTCTCCCGTTCAGCCTTTTCACTTTGACGCATCTTTCCCGAAGCCTCTTTATCGTCTACACTCATTTTTTCTCTTCGTCTTTCTTTCTGTCTCTCTCTCTCTTTCTTTCTCCTCTTTACTCTTTTCACTTTGACTTTTCTTTCTCTAAGCTTCTTTAACCTCTACACGCATTTTTCTCTCTTCGTCTCTCCCTCACTCTCTCACTCTCTCTCTCTCGCACTGTCTCTCCTTTACCCTTTTCACTTTGACAATTCTTTCTCTCACCACATTTCTCTCTCTCTCTCTCTCTCTCTTCTTTACTCTTTCCACTTCTTTCTTTAACCCTCTTTATCTTCTACGCTCTTTCTTTCTCTTTCTCTCTCTCTCTCTCTCTCTCTCTCTCTTTACTCTTTCCATTTCTTTCTCTAACTCTCTTTATCTTCTACACTATTTTTCTCTCTTCGTCTTCCTCTCTTTCTCTCTCTTTCTTGCTTTCACTGGTTTCGTCCTTTACCCGTGTTCACTTTAACTCTTCTTTGTTACTGTTTTTCTAATCAAGCTTTTACAAACACCTCATCTGCCGCTCGCATTTATTTTTCTCTTGGTTACGCCATTTGTCGTATCGACTTTTAAAAACGGAAACGCTTCTGTCCCACAAAAATTTCACATTGCTTTTCTTCCTCCCGAAACTGCGAAATACCGTTGAAAAGTTAGGTGCGAACTTTTCTTGTGAAAACGAGGAAACGCATCAGATATCATAGGTAGGATTGAAATCATGTAATTTTATATGTCACTAATTATGTAAATAAAAATACCTAAGTTACCAACTGCTTCCGAACGCCTACTTCAATATTTTACGGCCACACACACTGACGAATAGTAACAGAGCCTCGGACACAGCTGCGCCTAAAATAAACATATAAGTGGCCCATCTGGTGACGGACTTAGTTTCTTAACTACTGATATCTTTAGTCTGACACCAAACAAATTTGGTCTCAACCCATTCACGAGAATCTGGAATTCAAGAAAAAACAGATCCGATGAAGTTGGTTTACGCGATTGTAAAAATAAAAAATAAAAAAATAAATGGGAAATAAATATTTTCTTGCGTTTTGACAACGAAAGCAAGCGAGGGCAAATTCATATTTCCAGTAGATCAAATTATGATCCCAATTCCTTAGTTTCATCTGTTCCACAGATTTAAGCAATCATAATTTAAAGGAGGTACGGTATAGTAATGGATAGCGGCTAGATTGAGGAATCAGAGAGAGCCGAATCTATTACAGCCACTTACGTGTTAATACCCTTGGGAAAGGTATGAATCCTCTTCTTCTCCCTCCACCCAGCTATGGGAAAATAGCAGGACAGACCGTGTTCTATAGCCTTGGATGGCAACTGGTCTCCTCAAATGGCAACCGACTGATGGAAAATATCTGCCTCGTCAGTCATGTATCGAGAGATACATGATCGCTTAATTGAACTGATGTTATGAAACAAAGAGTTGATACCTAACTTTGTTTAATTTCAAATTTTTTATTTGAAATAAATTTGTCATTTTATTATTATTTTTTTATTTTTTTAATTCTTCGTCTTTCGAAATTAAGAAATATATTTATATCTACGTGCAAGTATACGTGAGGAAATATATATTTTTATCATACCCATACCAATATATATATATATATATATATATATATATATATATATATATATATAGAGAGAGAGAGAGAGAGAGAGAGATAAAAGTGAACATTGAAGTCGACATTCATAGGCGACAGGCTGTTTCATGCTAGACGCGAATGTTGTATTTTTCCTCGAGTATATATATATATATATATGGGTTAGTGGTGCATTGTGAGTAATCTATTCTGGCGGTTATTTTTGCGGGAGTGTTTTGTTTATTTATTTATTTATGTATTTATTTGTTTGGGTTAATTTATTTTACTTGTTTTACATTTTCATTTTGTAGTATTTATTATTTTCGGTTTTTGATGTTTTATTAACGTAGAAAAACAAATTGAGTGATATGCTTAGGTCACTTATTTAATAGTTTGTTTTGGTCTGGGAAGAAAATTAAAGCTATTTATTCGTCCAATGTTTAGATTGCTTGCTGTAGTCTATTCTGTTATTTTGGCGGGTGCACAGTTTTTAATTAATTTATTTATTTGGATTGATTATATTTACGTGTTTATTTATGCTTATTTTTATTAGTTCTAACGGTTATTTTAGCGGGGGCGATTTGTTAATTTGTTCATTTATTTATTTATTTGGATTAATTTTTATTTGTTTTTTATTTATTTACATATTTTATATTTTGAAAAATGTTATTTACTCTATTTGGCTTTCGACTTTTGAGTAACATATGTTTTTTTGGCGTTATATAGCAGTTAAAGTTATTTTACGTCCAATTTTTGGATTGGATATTGTAGTTTATTCTAACGGTTATTTTGGCGGGATTGGTTTGTTAATTTGTTTATTATTATTAAGTTTTCCTGTGGGCTTTATCACACACACACACACACACACACACACACATATATATATATATATATATATATATATATATATATATGACAAAGGGGAAAATTGTTTTAGTGTGACGTGTTTCATCATTTCGTACTTAATAAAACCTGTCTGATGAAGTCCTAAAGGACGAAATGCATAATACGATAACGTTTTTCCACTTTGCCATACATCTTTCACCAAACTTATCCTTGATATATAAAAATATATGTTATCCCATTATATATATATATATATATATATATATATATATATATATATATATATGAAATTAAAGATGGCGGGAGGAATAGAAGGTGAAGACGTTCAGAAAAAATTGGTTGATCAATGACGAGATAAAGAAATAGATGGATAAAAAAAATCAATGTGATTATTGTGCAGATTTTAGAAGTACATAAATGCACTTATTCTGAAGGAAATAATAAGATTATGTGTCAGCAATATATTTTAAAGGTTTTCTTTGTTCTTTTGTTTTTTTGCCAGCGGGATGACTCTTGTCCAGCTCATGCATGCATGAGAAAAAATTACGCTTGAATACATACTGCGATTTTTCTGATGTAAATACCAGCATATATATATATATATATATATATATATATATATATATATATATATATATATATATACATATGGGGAGGTGTATGTATTTAGACAGATATGTTTTGCTACATACTCCTACACAAATGTTATAACTAGATCACATGTGTACATATATAAGTAAATGCAAACACATGTACACACATATATATGTCTGTAGATAGATAAATAGATAGATAAGGAAAAGACTGAGATAGATAGATAGATAGATAGATAGATAGATAGATAGATAGATAGATATAGATAGATGAAATGAGATAGACGTATAGATATTGTATATATATATATATATATATATGGACTGAGAGAATCAAATACAATTAGATAGATAGATAGATAGATAGATAGATAGATAGATAGATTACACTTGATATAATATATTTGAATATACTTTTTAGGGATAGGTTGGCCCTCACAGCCATCTTTGCCGCCGCCACTACCACCACCACCACCACCACCACCACCACCACGAGCGGAGGGAAGGTTATGGGGAGGTAGAGTATAACGATTCCGATGCTCGGTTGTGAGTGTTTGCCGACGATGGGATATATCTTGAAATTCTTTTACGTATATAAGAAATTTTACATACATATGTGCCCTCGGCAAATAGCTTATATATATATATATATATATATATATATATATACGTTATATCTGTTTCTCCACTCACCGACATACACTTATACATCAATCGGTGTACATTTTTGGATTTGCTAGATATATAAAAAACTATGATGATTGATATGAACGATTTTACAAGTTTTACGGCGCGTAGAATAGTCACCTGCTAGAAGTGAGTCAAGTGAATTCCACAATGTATCTGCAACTGCAGGATATCGACCAGCAGCCCCACGCGGTCAGAAGTGGCACAAGCCCAAATTTAATGTGTGGGATCTGAACACTTAGGCTTGGCTAAAATTTCTCTGTAGACCCTTTATAAAACGGGGTCGGGTAGCTATTTCCCGAGACAAGTTTCTGTCCCTCGACATTGCCTCGTCTGGGGATCCTCTCTGCTCGGAAGCAGAGAGTTTGACCAGCACAGCTAGAGATGAATCTCTATCTGCATGATATCGACCAGCCACCCCACACAGTCAGATTTGGCACAAGCCCGAATTTAATGTGGGGTAACCGAGCCCTTAGTCTTTGCCAAAATTTCCCTGTAGACCCCGTATAAAACGGTGTTGGGTAGCTGTTTCCCGGGACAAGACTCTGTTCTTCGGCAAAGCCTTGTCTAGGGATCCTCTCTAACCAGAAGCAGAGGGTTTGGCCAGCACCAGCTGGAGACGAGTCTCCAACTGCAGGCCAACATACAGTATTTGTTGACCATGTTCACCATAGTCTATGAATATAGAATACAGCGCAGTACATAATCTGTTCAATGAAACAAGGTTAAAGATTAACACTCACGAATCAGGCACTCTACTGAATCTGACTATATCGCCAATACCACCAGCAGCTGTTCAGTAATTCTTCAGGCTTCGATATCAAAGGCTGCCAGTGAATATTCGGGAAAAACATGGCCGCCTTTATACACGTCGCATTGAATATTTTGAGCCTTCTGATTGGTTAACCCTTCTATTGGTGAACTATAAAATGAGTCAGCTCATTTTGGCTGCCTTACTAGTACACCAGGGTACCCAAATATTCCAACAGTATTTACTACCGTTTTTATATGAATGCGGACATTTCCATTATCGTACGTATTTATGCTACAACACATACATATATACATACACAAACACAAGTCACATATATACACTCTCACACTATTTGAACATAAACACACATCCACACACATAATTTTATAAATACTTGCGTTTAATTTATGTAGAAGCTTCGCTGTCTGAACATGAAACCCGAGTTCGAATCTCAAAGTGATTTCCTGATATTCTCTATCTTTGAGAGGCGATCTCAGCGTGCGACACTTTTGGAAAGTGCCTGAAAAACCATACCTCGAGTTGACCCAAACCTTGTGAGCGAAACTGGGTAGACGTAACTCTTTGGGGAACCGCCGATGCTTGTGTTAGCACGAAGTCACAAGTCATCGTGACCGATGGTTTGAGTGTGCTGGCCTTATTCGGACTGTTGATCATGTTAGATAACACGCTCTCTTCCAGAAACTTGCGCTCAGGTCCGCTTAGCATAGTTGCAGTATAAACCACAAATGTGACTGACTAGGCGCCTGCAAGAGGGATTGACTCTAGTATTCGGTTATTCGCGGATACGACTGGCTAGCTATATATATATATATATATATATATATATATATATATATATCGTTAAATATAACAAACAACGTCTGTTATGTTTGATCATGAGCCGTTCTAAGCTTCGTATAGTGGCTTTAGTTTTGGGAGAAAGTAAAGACAATAACTAATCAACATTTGGATATGTTTTTTTTATTATTATTATGCTGTTTCTCGATTATAAATTTTCTTTTATATATATATATATATGTGTGTGTGTGTGTGTGTGTGTGTGTGTGTGTGTGTGTGTGTGTGTGTGTGTGTGTGTGTGTGTGTGCAAATATATAGGAAAGGACATGTTAGGTAAATAATCCGAAGTTCTTTAGTATTTTTGTTTTTATTTTTTAAAAACATTGCTTAATACAAAAGTAGAGCCTGGACCTTTATTTTTAAAATAAGAACTTGGAGAAACATGAGAACTCTTATGTAGCGAAGGAATCATATTTTGAAAAAATTAATTTTATATATATATATATATATATATATATATATATATATATATATCAATCTAGGTTGATCAATCAAACTAAATCTGAGTTAGCGATAATTTCTAAAAATATAATTTTAAAAATTTACGGACAAACTATTCATTTCAACTGATGTCAATCTTTGGAAAGACTTGTCAGATACCATCGGATGATTCAATAATATGAGAGGGAAGAAGAAAACTATGTTTATTAAATTCAACATCATCGACTTTTAGTCCTCTATTTCTAGTGACCTTTTGAATGATTGCGTTAGATTTGCTAAGAACTATATTGTGATATCTGATGAAGATATTAATATCATATTTGCTGCCAGGACGTCAATTCTATGCCTTAATGACTGCACCTGAATTAAAAGTGGGAGTAACGACTTTGACGTTCCAATGGGGACATATGATTCGGCACAAGTATCTGTTCTTGTCTGTATTTACATTTTGGAGATAATTGGTAGATTTATTGAAGCGGTTTTTTTAGAGATGACGGACTCATTTATGTCCCCTAATAATAATGGGCTTCTTACTGTTAAATTACAGAAAAAAATCATTAGAGCTTTTAAGATCTCTGAAGACAGAGATCACTTGAAATATAAAAATAAATGATTACCTCGACATCACACTTGAATAATCATACATTTAAATCTTACCACAAGGAACACGAAACACCTAATTATATTAACAATAACTCGAACCACCCCCATACCATCTTGAAGCAGATACCAATTACAGTTGGTTCTAGAATCCATAAACTGTCATCTAATAAGACTATATTTCATAAGAATAAAGCATGGTACGAAAATGCCCTCCAGAAAAGTGGTTTTGCACATAAACTATCTTACTTAAACCCCACACATAACCATAGTGAAGTTAAGAGTAGTAATCCACACAAAAATAGAAAAAGAAATCTAATTTGGTTCAACCCCTTTCTGTAGATTATCTAGAATTAATAGTGGATAAATTTTCCTGAAACTTATAAACAAACATTTTCAGAATAACAACCCTCTAGTTAAGATCTTCAATAGAAAAACCATTAAAATAAGTTATGCATGTACTAACAATATGTTTAGAGTAATTGACTCCTACAACAAGTATATCCTTAACAAATTCAATGGTGTCAACAAGAATTCTAATACCTCCCCTTGTAATTGTAGAAATAGCAACCTTTGCCCTGTCGGGGGAAAATGTAAAGTATCTAACGTTATTTATAAAGCGACCATTTACCCAAAAGAAAATAAATCAAACCACCAAATTTATATTGGGATTTCTGCGGGTAAATGGAAAAAAATACTTTACAACCACAGCCACTCGTTTTTCAATCCAAAACTAAAACACCAAATTACTCTTTCCGAAATTTTTTTGGAATTGAGGGAAAAAGACCTGAACCCTCAAAGTGCCTGGGAATTTATAGGTTTTGCTCGGACTCCAAGTAACTTTAAGTGTAGATGTAATATATGTTTGGTGGAGGAAATTAAAATCATTAAATTTAAGAATCAAGATATTCTATTAAACAAAAGGAATGAATTGGTATCCAAGTGTCACCATAGGAAAAAAAATCCAACTGCCATAACATTATTTCAACCCCACACTCCAAATATCGCCACAGGAACAAATTTCAACTAACATCGTATCAGCCGAACCTCGCACTCCTCTCTTTCATTTATATTTTTAGATATGATTTTTTTTTCTTTTGTGATATCTTCCCTATATGTAAACTTTTTTTTATATGCAAAATTGTTTTTTAAATGTGGATTTAAATATTTCTCTTCCTGTTTCATGTTTTCTATATGTGGAATTTTCTTCTCTATTTAATTGTTTTTCTAATACTAATTTTTTTATATATTGAATTTAAATTTAATCTTTCACAGAATTTTAAATAATTAGTATAAGTATGCTATAATTTAAATTATAAACTTAGTATTTGAAAATTTATTAATATTATATTGATATAATGAGAGTGGTTAAATTTAAATGAAATTAGTATATTAATAATTTTCTTAATTTTTTTACTGTAACTTTTGCTATATAGTTAAAGATGTAGTATTGAATGGATTATTATTAACATCTTTTTATAAAAGCATTAATTTTAAATTCTTAAATACGGTTCTTGATATATAAAAATATATATCGTTACCTCATATATATATATATATATATATATATATATATACGTGTGTGTGTGTGTGTGTGTGTGTGTGTGTGTGTGTGTGTGTGTGTGTGTGTGTGAGTGTAATTTTTGAGTAGGGGAGGCACGATGGAGTATTTATGAAGCGGCTCGGAATGAAGAATCGGAGAGCCGAGTTCGAATTCCATTACATTCACTTATGTGAATGGATCCGACTGGATATATATATATATATATATATATATATATATATATATGTGTGTGTGTGTGTGTGTGTGTGTGTGAATGTAATGCATCCATGCATCCGACTGGATATATGTGTGTGTGTGTGTGTGTGTGCGTGAATGTAATGCATCCATGCGTCCGACTGGATATATATGTGTGTGTGTGTGTGTGTGTGTGTGTGTGTGTGTGTGTGTGTGTGTGTGTGTGTGAATGTAATGTATCCATGCATGTGACTGATGTGTGTGTGTGTGTGTGTGTGTGTGTGTGTGAAAATGTAATGCATCCATGCAACTGACTGGATATATATATATATATATGTGTGTGTGTGTGTGTGCGCACGCAAACATATAGAAAATAGGAAAGAACACGTTTGGTAAATAATCCGAAGTTCGTTAGTATTTCTTTAAAAAACTGTGCTCAATACAAAAGTAGAGCCTAAAATATATATATATATATATATATATATATATATACTTTGAGAAGTATGAATCCACTTCTTCCCCCCATCTATGGGTAAATAGTAGAATTAACTGGGTTCCGTAACCTTTCGGTCCAGGAAAGAGAAAAAATCTGAATTCAAAATTGGCTCTGTCAGTCTATCATGCCCAAGAAACACTACTTCTATTGCAGTTTATTGGGCAATATATATATAAACACTTTCTGAGTTTATGTATGAGAAATGATAACATTATTAAAGAGAGATATAAATCAAAATACAAACAGATAAATATAAACGTTAATTGCCACGCAACGAACACAGGCAAATATACAAACACATATATATGTATCCAACTTCAAAATATTTTTTAAATAATGCATAATATATACAAATATACATGCATGTGTATAACAAAAATATAATTTAAATATATACACATATATATTTTCAAATATAATACGCATTTAAACACAAAAATAATCCATATATCCTCATGGAGAAATATATAAGTTTGTGCATCCACACATAGACACACACACACACACACATATATATATATATATTCTTACAATTTATATCTGCATATTCACATGTAGAAAGATACATACATATGAAAATCTATATACACACAGATTTAAAGATGTATGTATACATTTATATCGTTTCATAGAATATAAATAAAAAGAAATAAGAAATTATATATATATATATATGTATGTATATATATATATATATATATATATATATATATATATATATATATATGTATAATCAAATATTTTCGTCTTTTATCTTATGACATTAGACGTTGCAATATTGAACACAACAAAACAAAAAATTCCACAATCAACCCTCGTTGTTCCTGTATGATGTAAACATTTTTTTTCTGTGGATATCCAACTGTTTTCTGTTGCTGTATCAGGTCAAGTTGCTTTATATACAAATGACTTTTTTCTTACCTACATTTCATTTCTTTATTTTACTTACATACACTCTTGCTTTTTTGTTGTTTTTCTTTCACTTTTCGATTTCCCTTTCTTCTCTATCATTACGAAATTTTTAGGAAGACGCTTGATTCTTTTCACTTTCCCAGAATGCCATTTTTCCTTCTTTTTTTTTAATTCCATATTTTTTGTCTTTACATTTCATTGATTTACACATATATATATATATATATATATATATATATATATATATATACGCGTGTGGTTGGGGTGTGCGGTTGGGTGGTGTGTAATGTTATAACCTCCCGGAAGTTTTACTTATTTTTTTTTAAATATTTTGTCTAATAAATATTGGGACAGAATTTTCTGCATAGATTTTTTTTTCCTGATGACTCATATGAACAAACACAAGTTTCTTCTAATCAGTGCACACGTATCTGTCTACGTCACGATGTGTGCGTTTATACATATGTACACGTGTCCGATTATGACAAATAGTATAGACTTAAAGAGAGAGAGAGAGAGAGAGAGATCTAAAAAAAAAAGAGAGAAACATAAACACATAAATACATGTATATATGCAAAAAGAATATATATATATATATATATATATATATATATATATATATATATATATATATATATATATATATATATTTAGGGGTGTCCTGTGCAGACGTAATACTTCTTCATTTACAAAGTTTTAGCAAGAAAATAATTGATCTTCTGATATAAAAGTTAAATGCGAAATAAAAGTTAATATTTAGAGAACTAATATGTAGATGTCAGTGTGTATGAAGATAGATAGATAGATAGTAACAGGCTAAGATAGATAGGTACATAGATATTAATAGAAAGTGATAGTAACTAACTTGGATAGATAGATAGATAGATAGATAGATAGATAGATAGAAACAGACTAGCATAGATAGATAGATAGATAGATAGATAGATAGATAGATAGATAGATAGAAACAGACTAACATAGATAGATAGATAGATAGATAGATACGGCCTGATGATTGCCTCTAGGATGAAACAGTTGTGTCGCTACTAAGCGTTGGCTTCAATACTCACTTTTATATATATATATATATATATATATATATATATATATATATATATATATATATATATATATATATTGACCACTAATATATATATATATATATATATATATATATATATATATATATATATATATATATATATTTATTATGTTACATTAGAACATGTACTATATATCTGTACATCTTGTTTCAACGTTTAAAAATTTATTTTACAGTTTCATCAGTTGAGAGAAACGGTAAAAGAAAAGTTTTAACGTTGAAACAAGATGTACAGTTTTGTAGTGGGTAGGTACATGTTTTAATGTAACACTGCATAATATAATATATATATATATATATATATATATATATATATATATATACCGCTTGATGATTGCCTCTAGCATGAAACAGTCTGTCACCACTGAGTGTTGACTTCAATGCTCACTTTTATATATATATATATATATATATATATATATATATATATATATATATATATATTATGCAATGTTCCATTATAACATGTACATACTACATGTACTAATATAACACTGTAAAATAAATAAATATGTATTGCTCTACTTTTGTATTGTTTTAAATTAATGTTTTGAAAGCTGAAATGTTACTCTTCGTTCTTTTTACATTTGAATATATATATATATATATATATATATATATATATATATATATATATATATATATATATGGCAGAATATAGACTTGGCTTACAATCAATCAGTATATATATATATATATATATATATATATATATATATATATATATATATATAGTGCAGAGTGAATACTGTTCGTCTCCTCTATCCATGGGTGAAATAAGAAAGCGAATTAAAATATATATTTGCTCTGTGTAACAACATCGCGTACTATTATGTTTACACCTCATGTATAAATTTGATGACTATTTATCTGCTTGCCCGCGTACGCACACCAGTATGCACGTATACGCTTGCTTATATCTGGTAGTTTGATATATATATATATATATATATATATATATATATATATATATATATATATATATATATATATATATACTGTAGACCGAGTTTTATTCATACCCTATCTATGGATTTAATCGTAGGCCAAACTAACTTGTATAGTTATGCTCAAATAATAACTACATTTCTCTCATTAACACAAATCAATCGAAAAAGCTTCGTTCCTTTGGACAGTCAACATTATTAATCTTTCTTCTTTGATTTTATTTCCTATTTTCATATCTGTACAATAATAAAGATGTTCATTCACATCCCATAACATACAGTTAATCTCTAATTTCATATGCAACTAAGACAAATCATTTTATTTCCTCTAATTCTATCATCTGAAATATGATTAACATCAACAAAGGAATTAAAGAAATTAAAAACTAAATTCCATGACATTCTCATATGCGTGCACGGTTTAAAACACTTTAGCCATCAGTGCATTATTGCGACAACCTGTCGTTTTGATCATCAATTATCCGCCGTTTTATCTATTGTTTTTCCAAGTGGTACTGATCATCCACAAATTGTCTTTTATCCATATAATCTATTTTTTTTTCAAATGATTCCCAAACAATGAAATTAATTCGGAAATATTTTAGACGATCGGAATTCATTAATGACACGAATGAAGTTAATTTAATCCTTTCATGTTTATTTTATTGTAATTTTATAGGCAACCCAATTCAACACAATATTAATGAAATTCTCTTTCCTTGTTATAAAAACATGGCGAATATAAGTGTGCATCAAAGATACAATATACGTGGAGTGTCTTGATTGGCTGATACAGTGCATCATTAATGTTCCTTCACATTGAGCAATCTCACGATCGAGTTGGGGTTCTTTAGAAGCCGCTAGTGTTACGAGTGGAACGGGTATGAGGTGTAAAACCTGGTACCCGTAATGAAATGATAATATATCAATGAAAACCCGCCTTGGTTGGCATATCTTTATTATCTATTTACCTATTCGCTTTTCTATATTCCATGATAATTATCTAGATGAAAAGTTTTTGGTCAAACAGTGGATTTTTGACGGCTTCTTGGTTGGGCCGAGAGCTTTTCATCATATAATCCTATTATCCTAATTATGTTATCAATAAGTCGAAGCAAAAAAAAAGGAAATATTATATAAAATAATTATTTCATTTTCAATATAAAATACTTCCTTTGTCAATGCCCTTAATTCAGGGTTAAATCTGAATAACATATATCAAACATTATGCAATGAAATTTTAGATCAAAATTCAATTCATAATGATGGACTATATAAGATGCATTCTTATATATAATCATGAATATATATATATATTAACTGATTTAAAATATGGTTTCTTCGCTACACAGGAATTACCATGTTTCAAAAACCGAAGCTAAAAACTGTTTCATCTTCGGTTTTTGAAACATGGTAAAGGAAATAACCATATTTTAAATCAATCAATTTATAATATTTATGTTCTTTAAATTTACATTGAGCACTGTTTTGTAAAAATAAAAATATCAATAAGAACACCGGATTATATATCTTACTGTTCTTTCATTTTTTTTTTATATATATATATATATATATATATATATATATATATATATATATATATATATATATATATAAAGTAAACAGACCACTTTAAGGCTCCATTGTAATAGTTTATTTAACCAGACACCTTTTTAAATATGTTATTTCACCAAAGACTATTTAAATATATTATACCTTTTTTATATATATATATATATATATATATATATATATATATATATATATATATATATATATACATGATAAACGTATCGCCAGATACTTTTTCCTTACATATTACCAAATTCCACAAGATATGCTCCGAATAATTAACGACAAAATAAATATATATATACAGACTCAGGATCATCCAACCCACCTTTTTGCAAAAGAATTATCATCGTATGGTTTGGATTTGCGAAGACATTTTAAAATTAAAAATACATAATAATTGCATTAGAATCTATTTTTTAGTCATAATTATTATTCCCGTTCGGTTTTACTTTTTGATTCTGCTAATATCAGGTCATCCCATAAGTTCTGTCCGAATTTTGAATAAAGAAAACAAGTGACCAAATGTTACATTTAATTACAGATTCAATCAACAATGTATTTTCCCTGATTATCTATGACTTCCTTCCATCTATTAACAAGCTTACTAATTCCATTACTGTAAAATTCTTTTGGCTTTGATTCGAAGAACTCACAAATGTCAGTTTTAACATCTTCCTGTGTTACAAAAGCTGTTTCTTCCAAATGATTCTGTAAGCTACGAAACAAATGGTAATCTTAAGGAGCAAGATCGGGAGAATAAGGTGGATGAGGAATTTTCTCCCAACCAAGTTCTTCGATCTTTTGTGACGTGATTCTTGCTGTGTAGAGTCGCGCATTGTCCTGATGAAACATCACCTCTTTTCGGTTCACTAGAGCAGGTCTTCTTTTCCTCAAAGCTTGGTTCAAACGCTCTAATTGCTGTCAGTATATTTGAGCATTAATTGTTGCATTAGGTGGTAAGAATTTAAAGTGGATTATTCCTTGGCGACCCCACCAGATTGAAAGAAGAACCTTTTTCCCATGAAGTTCCCTTCTCGGCTGTGGCTGGGGTCCTTCCACTTTACCAAGCCACTGTCTACGACGCTTAACATTTCGATAAAAGATCTATTTTTCGTCGCCAGTCACAAGTCTATCCAAAAAAGGTAAAACAAGTTGGCGAGAATGGAGAGAAGAGCAGATGTCAACTCGGGATTTGAGGTTGTTTTCAGACAATTCATGAGGCACCCATTTTCCAAGTTTAGGAACTTTTCCAAGTTGTTGAAGATGACGATGAACAGTTGTATGGTTTGAACTGAGAACCACTGCCAATTCCTCAACTGATAAACCAGGATTTTCTTCAAAGGCTGCTTCAAGAAGCTTTTCACCAAACTCAACTGGACGTCCGATTCGATCTTCATCTTCAAGGGTGAAATCTCCACCTCTTAATTTTGCAAACCATCTTCTGCAAGTTCTTTCATTCACACATTCTTCTCCATAAACTGAGTGAATGTTTTTAGACGCTTCAGCTGCTGAGTTTCCTTTCTTGAACTCATAGAGCATTATGTGCCTCAAATGATTCTTGCGTACTTCCATGTTAGCAGGGTTTTAACCAAACAAAATTTAATTTATTGTTCTCTGAAATAAAATTTGATCAGTTTAAATGCATCTAAACATAAAAATAATGATCAGCTCCATTAGACATTATAAAATACTCTTTAAATTTCGTTCATTTTAATAAAAAGTTAAAATTCAGACAGAACTTATGGGATGACCTGATAATTTCGAAACGCTATATGCATTTTTAAATTCTCTTGAATTTATTTCCGTATTTGTGTGTGTGTGTGTGTGTGTGTGTGTGTGTGTGTGTGTAATTATTTTAACTTTTTATTATTCATTCATGATTGCAGATTTGAAAAATAAAACTTAATATTTATTCTTCTTTTTTTTACTTTACGCAACAAAAACAAATTTCAGACAAAATATCTTAAATTAATCGAGGCCGGGCCGGTTCAAGATTCTCCGCCCGACCACGAAACTATGATACGGAAAAATAATTTAGTTTTGTTATGGAAAATAAGTTTTTATTCAATCATTAAAAAATAAACGTCATTGATTTTTTGGTTTATTACTAACATGAAAAAAGTAAATAATTTTAAATTAAATTTTATTAAAGCAAAAACCATAGCAAGCCTTATTTTTTCGAAAATTAATTTAAAAAAATATAGTTAAATTCGTAAAACAAATATGCAAGAGGGCAAACGTCGCCAGAAACTCATGTCTGTCTCTCATAAGTTTGTTATTTAACTAAAGTTCTTTTCGAAAATAAATAAAACTTGAATTTAGGTGGGTGGGTCATCATTATTTTTTACACTTGACCTTAATTTTGCACAATTGTTACAGATGAAAAAATGTAAATATATTTATACGTGTATATATATAAATGTATTCTGTATATATATATATATATATATATATATATATATATTATTTTAAGACATTTTTTATGTTTAACATTCTTTTTATAGATACAAATATTTAAGTAAATGCTCTGTTTTATAATAAACACTATTAAACAACATTTACAAGCCTGAATGTCCGAGAAATTTTCACAGAAAATATTCGTCCTCCGACAGGATTCGAACCTGTATCCGATACGGAACCGTCATTTAGCTTGACCACAGAAGAGCGTTCGGTTAGCAAGGTCGAATTTACTGTTTTTAAACTTCAATCTTCCATGATTCTCTCACGTACATTCATATCTGCTCATGGCGTATCAAATGTAAGCAAATGACGTCACAAATTATGAAATGGACAAAGTCCGACAATTATTTAAAGACATTTTTAAGTATTTCTCGGACATTCAGGCTGGTAAATGTTGTTTAATACTGTTTATTATAAACAGAGCATTTACTTAAATATTTGTATCCATAAAAAAGAATGTATAAACATAAAAATATCTTAAAATAATTGTCGGACTTTGTCCATTTAATATATATATATATATATATATATATATATATATATATATATATATATATATATATATACAGAGAGAAAGAGAGAGAGAAGTATATAGGAAAAAGATAAAGGCAACTGGAGCATATTTATTTAGAGTAACTTTACCGATTTTGCAGTTCTATGATTTTCAAAAATGAAATTGAAAGACTTTTGGCTATTTAGTTTCTGACTGATCACGTGATCATAATCAACCAATTAAATTGCATTTTAAACAGATACCAATCCGACCCCTATTTTTCCTATCATCCATATATATATATATATATATATATAGGAAATCAGGACGTAGAAGCCATTGAAGTGCAGTAAACCAACTCTGAGTGATGAAAACCTTAAAACAGGGGTTCGCATGAAAACATTTTCCAGCACTCACATAGCTAGTAAATATTCAAAATCATACGCAAATTGTTTGGTAAAAGTTTGTTACTGGTTCATAAACTGACTTTATGATTTTGTAAAAAAATTACCAAAGGGAGATAACAAATAACGCTGACTTATACGCCTCCGGCTGCCACTTCTACCACCGTATTAAAGAACAAACAAAAGCAAACTTGACCATTGAAAACAATATGTATAATTTAGTTTTATAGTCAAGGCTATTTTATGGTAAGGATTAGCATTGTACGTGTTGATAAAAGATATGCTGAAATATCTTTTTAATACTCAAAATCCTATATCACCCATCAAAATTTCCAACGTCCACTATTTTCTGTTTAGTTGCTTATCGACCACCCAACAATCGAAATCGCCCACCCAACAATCGAAATCGCCCACCCAACAATCGAAATCGCCCACCGATAGGTGATGTCGCCCAGTTATAGAGGAAGATCTGCAAAATCTTATAATCTGATAGTGTCATGTCGTGTGTTGAAGTTATGGATACAACCTTTTCCCCATGGTTCATCTGGATTTTTATTGTAATTCTGTCCCACACATTGCAGCTGTGTGCATTACTCTTCTGTAGTAAGAGACTTGAAATGATTGAGCAGTTCCCAGTAAATAAGGCCGTCCAAATATCACCATCGTAAAAGTAAAACACTTTCGTATGCGATACTGGTTTTGTCTGACTATGGTGACAGCAATCTTTTCTGTGCAGTTCCGTTTGCTTGTCGTAATGACGATTGATTTTGTGCATTGAATCAACTGCACCGAGGCACACCTTGAAATCGCTCAGCAGTCACGATTACAATTGCGCACAGTAAATCGATATTTCCTGACTTTGTGAATGCGATGATGCAAGCGAAATTCATGATTGTAAAGGTCAAATGACATTCGAAGATTCCGTATATGAGACTTACATAATTTTTTCTAATGCCAACGAGCATTTTATCAACCTAACATTATACATTACACACACACACACAAGCACACATTACTTCAAACGTTATTATTAGTAGATACTCGTATTTGAAATAAACGCCCCATTTTAATTTTTATTTTAAATGCGTGTATTGCGTTTATCATCCTGCGCATTTGAGAAATAATAAAAAAGAAAATGTGCTCTCCGGCAGGAATAAAATCTGTGTTACCCTTTATAGCAGAAACGACACTTTGACCCTGCATGCTTTACCATTCGATTACAGAGAGCGTCACAGTTAAGCCAGGCACTATCTTTTTTTAAAGAAAGCACACTTTCGCATCTAGATATTTTACCCCAATGCCCATAGCTGTTCAGATTCATATCCGAAACGCAAACAAAGCAACTGCTAAAAAATAAATATCGTTATTAAAATGGATATCAAGGAGGATAACTCTTTTTTTATAAAATACTATACTTATAACAATTAAATTAAACTAGTACTCAGAATTTAAATTTAATGTAAGCGTATAAAGAGTTTGGGACTATATATCCCATGCGTCTGCAAGCAAGAATTATACTTACAAAAGTGAAATTATATATACACACGTTATAAGTAATCGAGTACGGTAATATGGGATTCTATGTTTGTATAGATATATAAGAAATGTTATTAATGATGGACTCTAAGAATATTAATACTTGTTGCATATTCTATTAATATTCGTAAAACCTATTTTGTAATCTCTTTTAATCGGGATTAATGTGTTTGAGCAGATGCTTGGTATTATGGATACATGTAGACATTAATTCCGATCTCCTGTTCAGCAAGAAAGGTTTAAGTGTTTTAACATAAGCTTCTCCAACAAACACAAGTTGCATCTGTCTCCCTTTCTATTGTATGGTTTTGCATTTCGCGATTATCTCTCAGCTAATGGTTGAGTTCTTATGGATATTTTTTAATTGCTAAACATACTTTGAAAGAACCGATCTCTATAACGGTCAGAATATTCTCCGCGGCTGAAAATTGCAAGACTGCATGAAACTCCGAGTAGTGCTATCGACATTGGATACTATGTATATTCAGTAAAATACACACACACACACACAAATATATATATATATATATATATATATATATATATATATATATATATATATGTACTAATAATTTGTTTGATCAGGGACATAATGCCTTAAAGGACATGCACACTAGTAAATAATATTGATTCTCTGTAATTTGGAATTTGAATCAGGAACCACATCCATAAATAATTATATTAGATATACTACAACATGCCTAACAGGAAGACTAGCGTTACATTTCTCTGACCATAGGTCAGTTCTGATTTAAATCCACATGGAGACCTACCAAACTCCATTCGCAATATAATGGTTAATAATACAAATATAATAGTCACATCCCTATGTAAAAAATGCTTAAACTAATGGAAGTATTGGAAAAATCTATCACTCAGTACCATTAACTATGAACACGGCCACAATGTGCTGACCGTGTTTGAAAAATAAAACATTCTTATAACTCTAGATACGTATATAAAACAATCCATACATTCAGTTAAAAGTAAAAATAAATCCATCCTTGATAATGGCTAAAAGTGCAGCTGAAAGCGCTTGGACATACAAAACATTCAGATAATTTCTACATAACTTATGCCAAAAAAGAAGAAAATACAATGCCCAAATAGACAATTATATATATATATATATATATATATATATATAATTATTTATTTAAAAATATGATTCCAACACGCTACATAAGAGTTCTTATGTTTCAAAACAAGAGCCGAAAACTTAATAATGTGTAGTTTTTCATATAGGCAATGAAAAACTACACATTATTACGTTTCTAAATAATAAAAATCTATTAAACAATAGACATGAGTTAACGGTTTTTTGCCGACATCATCAAATTTTTGCATTGAATAATTAGCATAAAAGCAAACAAACAATAAAATAATTTTTAAATTCCATAGTCTAAATAAATAGTTTAAATGCTCTACAAAAAATATAACCCTTTATGAAGTCGTCAAAAAACAAATGTTAGCGATTTAAGACAGTTTGTATATACACAAAACCCTTTCAGAAAATAAATAAATAAATCTCCCTAGACACTTAACCAGACTAGACGATGTCATCTTCCGCTTTAGATTTAGACACCCCAACCTTACCCTGACTTGACATCTGTGAATGTAACCGAGATATTGATACAAATTATTAACACCTTACGCCTCTTTTCTTTAAACAATTGCTCTAGCCGTTACCATAGAAATTTTGATTTTAATAATGAATATGCTTATAAAACACGTAAATTTCAGAAATAAGTTATTCCAAAAAATTTTCGCTTGAAGATGGAACAGAACTTAGTACTTTAATTCAATTTAATTCAAATAATTATATTGAAGTTTTCGGCTCTTGTTTTGAAACATGAGAACTCTTATGTAGCATGTTGGAATCATATTTTTAAATAAATAATTATATTTATGCTCTACTTTTGTATCGAGCACTGTTTTTTAAAAAATAACAAAAATACTAAAGAACTTTGGATTATTTTCTCTAACGAGTTCTTTCCTATTTTCTATATATTTTTCGCTCACACACACACACACACACACACACACACACACATATATATATATATATATATGAAAAATCCTAAAAAGTCATGAACAACCTACCTAGGTTTCTCCTAGCCAGTCAGGGTAAGCCACCTTACCCTGAGGATCTGTTTAGGTGAAACTTAGGTAGGTTGTTTCTGGCTTTTTATGATTTATTCCATTTATCCCGGCTCTTTTTAGCGTATTGAGAACTCTACATTTTAGCTGTATTACTCGCTTGGTTTTTTTTTTATTGGACTAAAAACTTAAGGCACTGGACGATTTATTTCGCCCTGTTCGGATGTTTCTAGGTCTTTCTTTTTTTTTTCCAATTTTTTCTATCGGGTACCAATTTGTTTTGGTAGACTTATAAGTTGTACTATCCGCAGATTTTTTCCAACACAGTATTACTAGTAGTATATATATATATATATATATATATATATATATATATATATATATATATATATATATATATATGTATGTATTTAGTTTATGCCAAACTAGGTAATCCGTATGGGTAGACCCAAGGAGGATGATATCGGAGAGATCAATGTAAATTCAGAGCAAATATGCCTGAATAAAAACAGACCAGTTTAAGGTTCCATGTTATAAATTATTTCACCACAGCCCTTTTAAAGGGCTCTGGATCATCAGACTTTACTTCCAAAGGTTGAAATGAAAAAATGAAAAAAATTTTACATTTTGACGGGCCGTATTAAGCATATGTAAATATGCTTAATACGGCCTGTTGATGTTTATATATATATATATATATATATATATATATATATATATATATATATATATATATATATATATGTATATCACATAAAACCAAATAATAATGATATCAACGATGAAACAGGAATGTAAAGAAAAGACTGTGAAATATACCAAAAGATACATAGGTGAGACTTCCAGGAATTTTAAAAAATCATATGAATATAAAAGGGAATATTTACAAAAGAATACATTTAGTGTATTAGTCATATATCCCAATTGGTCTAGTATTCATTTCAACTTAAAGAATGTAGATCTGTCTATATTTCTGAGATTAGGTATTATGTACATTATTTACATTATTCGGACTATTGTTGTGATAAATATGGCGGCAAAGATGAGGACAACAGTCCGAATAATGTAAATAATGTTAAAGAATGTAGTCTAAATTAAAACAGATAGTAATTTTTTATGGTAAAAATGTAATCAACATGCCAAATATATTCGATTTGGGGAACTTTCCAATGTACATTTATGTCCAGAATCAAACACCAAATATCGCTTTACTCACAAAATGATTACCATTGCATTATGGGATATTTGAAAACAATGCAGCTCAAAATAAAAAGAAAAGCGGTCGAAACTTGAATGAGGAAGGTTAGATTATTCTGAAAATAATATCCAATTCTAGAATCAGTTTTTATTCCTGAATTAATGTATTTAAACAATGTTTAAATCAGTCAAAATCCAAACCCTGACATGATTAACATCGAGTTGCAGGTTTATTTATGTCTTTACGGTAAAACTTGAAAGGTTTGGACACCAAGAAATCGTTAAATACAGTTTCTGACTGAAGCTTAAAATTCACATCAAGACGAATAACATTACAGATTCTTTTTGCATTTTATCAAAAATCTCCAAATATATATCAGAATTACCAAACCAAATGTGGCAGTAATATTCAGAGAAGTAATACATAAAATGGATTCCTGTGATAAAAATTGTCTCACACGACACAGTGAATTTCATAAGCAGCAATTCAATATAATAAGCCTGAAGATAAGCCTGGGAAGGTGCAATGAATCACTGTCATGGAGGTTAGCATCAGCCATGCTGATGGAAGAAAAAAAGGGTTCTATCAGCCGATTTAAAAGATCAGTTTCGTTTTGGAGGGGTTAAAATTAACGAGCCATTCCTTGCTTCAGTTAACAACAAGTTGTAGGTCATTTTTTAGATCAGCTGCCAACTTTACCTTATTGAACCAATCAGATTTGATATTAAGACAGACATAAATAGTGTTGGCTTCAACATATGTGCCGAGTTGAGAACTGATGACATCAGGAAGGGCGTTGATGAAAATTAAGAACAACTTAGATTTAAGGATAGAGGCTTGGGAGACACTTCCATTAATGTAAAAAGATCTAGAAGAATGGCCATTCTAGACAACCTTCATTTCTCGATCTGATAAGAGAGACAGAAACAGTTTAAAAATTC